CCTCACAGTACATCTCCCAGAGTGGCACAAGCCTGCAGGAGCCCCCTAGCGATCGGCGTCGTCATGGACATGTCTTCCGCTTGCATTTGATTCCAGATCTCAAAGGCTCGAGGGGCGAAGTACTTATCCGTGCTGTAACACAATATCAACTCCTGAAAATGGCCAACGACAAATTCAGAGCATCTAGGGAAAATACGGTTACCAAATTTTCCACGACTCGTCGTAAATACTATTCGATGCATCCCTGTACGAGAGATCAGAAAAAAGTGAGATTCAGAGGCTTTCTTTGTATCATATTGCTTTCGACTAGCACATGTGTTAGTTTATATTTCGCCAAACCTTACTATACTAAAATAGTGATGAATAACCACATTCTGATATTAAGATTCAAAATCTCATACCGCACTTCCGCAACTTCGTAAAGACTACTACTCCACAATCTCAAGATGCTCCTTATAACCTGGTAAGTGATGTCCGTCGGAAACTGTCCACTCTGCTTCATATCTTCAAAGACACCCATCGCCCTCTCGCACTCCTCCTTCTTCCGGCACGCCTTCACCATCACCGTGAACATTACCGAGTCCTGATATACAGTCTCGAGACTATATCAACTCAGGACTTCCCCACAGGTTGGATCTGTTTGAACGACCGCGCATCCCAAAACTGCTCCCACGCCACTTCGTATCTCCCCGCTTTCACTAAGCCGTCAATCAGCATAGTGTAGATCTCGACGCCTGAGAGATCACCGTCACTGCGCCACGAAATTACCAACACGCAAGACCTGGCTTGAGCCCTTCGTCCTCCATCTTGCGCTGCAATGCAAATGCACTAGTAATGTCATGAGCCCGTATATGCGCTTTTATCAAAGCACCATACACCTGAGCGTACACCAGCGTAAAGCCAGATACAGCACAAAAAATTGGTCACAAGTTCGCGCCAAAGATTCTCCCGCACAGGGAAGATTTCACACAGCAGAAGTACACCCATATAACCTCACCTTGAGTGACGGTGCCAGGAGATGCTCCCTCATCTTGATATAAACCTTCCTCGCCAGCTCCGCCTCATCATAGCATGCAATCATCAAACTAACCTACAACGCACGGCAAAGATTCTCTTCCTGCCCCTGAGGGCCACCACCGACGTAGGTATCCTCATTGGTCTCGAAACCATGTTCGATCATCTTGTCGTGGACCTCCAAGGCTTTGGCCAACAGCTTCTCCTTCTTAGCCCCTCGAGCGGTCGCTACTCGACTACCGATTGAGCGGATAAACAGGTTGATATTTTCCGTACAGCCCTGCCCTGCCTCAAGGAGCTGACACAAAAATGTGTCACCACCGTGTCACCCACGCGGCGATGAGTCGTGTCACCTTAACAAACGAAGAGCCCTTATGAGCCGCCAATTCCTGCGTCCTCTTAGTGTGTTCAATCCCTCCGCCCGAACCACAATACCCCTCCCTTAGGAGCATCTCCGGCGATATGCCCGTAGCCGCATACTTAGCCGCTGCTGCTCTTAGCTGTCCTATTATCTGCAGAGACGACAGAATACAAAAACCTATACAAAATAATGTGCTCCCTAGGGTTTCATAACAGTAGTAATGTCAATCGACATTTACCTAGAATACTTCTATTCCCATGCGGGAAGTTCTAAATGACTTCTTCCGTGGAACATTATAGTTTCCTGAATATTTTTCTATACAACACCGCGAGTCAAACTCCATGGAGATACGAACATCTCTGCAGTCTTCAAGTAAGCATATATTCCTATCGCGACTCTTACTATGTGCTTCAGGAAGTGTGGGCATGATCACTCGAGCCTATCCCATCTATTTACGGACTTCGCCTCTACCCCTCAACTCACATTAGTGCCCACATCCGTTATAACCTTCCTATCAGTCGCCGTCAAGCCCGAGTCATCACCAAGGGCCGCCGACCCATCCTTCTCCCCATACCGCTCCTTTTCCAACTTATCATATTCCGGCTTCCCCGCGGGCTCTCCCTCCTTCCTGCCCATGCACTGCTGTATATCGGCGGCCTCAGCGTTGATGTCAACACTTTGAGAGCTCCCCAGGTACTTCCTCGCGAACCGCGTAGGGGACACCGCCTAGCGACATTCGATAACATCACCAACTCCAGAACAACCGATTCACTTCTCTTGTCTTGGCGTCTACTTTAGATGCCTGTTTTCCCACCAGGTCTTGGATACCCCCCATAAGGGCTCCAGGGGGATCCTCCTCTTCGTGCGACCGCTTCGGCTTGCTTTCCGGACCTGCGCTGTTGACTTGTGAATTTTCACGGGAATCAAGTCCCACCTGTCTCGCTGAATGTCCGTCCCTCTGACCACTCGCCGGCCCAATCGAGAGTTCCCGGCTCCTTCTTCCGTTGCCGCCGTTTTTTGTGCCAAAACCATTCCGAAACCGGGACTTTATCACCCATTTTCTTACGATACAAATCCCTAACCTAAAAACCCACTGCAAGATATGCATATCGCGCACAGCGAAGATTCGAGTCCAGATGAAAAGCATTATCACCTTCTGCACACCGTCCTCTCGAAAGACACTAGAAGCTGGCAAGCCCAGGTCCTCTAGATGCATGGATTCGTCCCCTTGGATGAACAGTCGATGGTCCCTGGGCATCCCAGCTAC